AAGTGAGTATAGGTATTCATCATATTTTCAAAAATTAGTCGGTTAACATATAATATTGGCATACTGAGTTTTGATATTTAATGGTATGTTTAGGTCAGATACGAAAACTGTTACAGCATTTTTGTATTTTCGTCATTAGCCTTCATCCAATCAAAGCCAAAATTAACTATATATAATATAACAAATTCAGATTCAGATAGGTAATTATAGGTTAAGTTAACATTTAGATGAGTAGGTATATAATTTTTATAAGATCTATTATACTGTATACTGTATAGGTACATTTATATGCCTACTGCAGTATCTATATAATAGGTATTATACTGGTCTCACCCGTTAGTTTATACAGTTTCAGACACGTTTTACACAGCACACTCCTCCATTACCTATGACATTATTCTGGATAGATTTAAAAAAAATATTGTAATTTAGTGAAACCTATCGTACAGTTAGATAAGGTTCACAATCTATATATATGAATTTTTTTCGTTGTTAACGTTATAAGTAAGAATGATGTATAATATTCCAATATATAACTGCATAATTACTATACTTACTAACTACGCGATATATACATGATCAATACGCATGGGGTAGGTAGGTATAGTATCGTAGAACGTAGAAATAATAACTCGAATTATAGGTAAGTACCTATAATGGCTTAACGACTTAACCCCCCCTATTGCTCGTATTATTGTTTTTTGTTTTTTTTTATTTATGTACCTTGATTTAATATAGTTTCTTAAATCGTGTGTTTACTTATTTATTGCAAACAATGCAAACCATATTGTCCTAAACTGGCTAARCTCTTAAGGTTCATAGATAATATWTTTATACATTTCATAGTCAATAGTYATTAGTCATAATTAAAGATACTATCTTTAGCCGTGCCACAGTCCATATAAATCTATAATCTGTGAAAACAATTGAATTTATGTTAACAACACTATATCCGTCTATCCAAGCATCGTTATTCCAACGGCCTAGTTAACCTGTTAAACATGTGACAACCGAGTAATTATTTATTTTCAAGCCCCCCCCCCACCACCATTGAGAAATCCTGCGTACGCACTGATTCATTTTATTGCAATAGATTTACCGAATCGTATATATCATTATTAAAGCTATACAGACACGGGCGTGCGCACGGGGTATGCAGGGTATGCGTTTGCATACCCTGCAGGCAGACGCTTGGGAGCACATCAACAAATTAGTAACCAAAAGTGTAAGATGAAATATCATTCTCATTAATTTTAGGATCATTTATATCWGTGGGAGAGGGGTATATTTTATCARCCGCATACCTATAGGTACCCTGCAAACAGTGCAAACAAAGTCTGCGCACGCCTTTGATTATTGAATAATTTGACGCATAGAGGTATTAGGGGTTCTCAATTCTGAAAACATAATCGTGTATACATTATACTTATTATATTAAAGAAAACTAGTTAGTCGTGTTGATATGTATTATTACTACAACG